GAAACCCGGGCTAGCCTGCAAACCACTTTGATTGGAAGTGACAGCGGGCTTGGAAAAGATACATACGAAAAGGGAGCTTAATAGAGTGATGGATAAGAAGCAACACCGGGGTGGAATGTGGCAGGGGACTGGAGTGAGTGAGGAGAAAGCGGCTGGCGCTGGCTTCTGGAAAGGGCAAAGAGACTTGCATACAAACGCGCACCCGCCCAGCAGCTACCCAAAGGTCCAAGCCTGTGTTACGGGGATGATAGGAGCTTTGAGCTCTTTTCTTCCCGAGGGACACCATCACACACATGCACGCGGCAGAAAGATCCGCCTTCTGGGGCATCCCCTCTTTCGAGATCCCTCGCCAAACCTGTGTTGGGGGCAGTGAACGGGAGGTGGTGGGGGATGCCCAACCATCGCACGCACAACTGTAGGGGGCCGGGAATGCAGGAGGGAGTGCTTGTCCATGGGAAGAGGAGATGGAGGGAGGGAGGAAACAAAGGAAGCGTGCACGCAGAGAAGAGGCAGGACTGGGTGGTTGGTTGGCGGCCGCTAGAGAGCAAAGGAGGGAGACGGGGATCCGGAGGCAGCTCCTCCTCCCGCTGGGATGGGAGAAGCACCACGATAGCCGCTGCCACGGCGGGGTGTAAGGGGGTGAGCTGGAGAGGGAGACCTGAACCTGGGCGCTGGAGCGGGCGGCGGGAGGGATCAGGGCCATGACGCGATCGACCCGAGCCATGAGTCTCTGGGGCAAGGTGGGGTGGGACGGGAGTCGGTTTTGCAGTAAGCCTCTGCTTTCACACTAGAGGGGGAAGGGTCGGGAAGGAAGGGATTAGAACCCAGCACTGTGTTATAGGGCAGCGTGCTATTTCTTAAAAAATAAAAATTTGCACTAGGCCGCATTACGAGCTGACCTGGGCCGCATGCAGCCCATGGGCCGTTGGTTGGACAAGCCTGTTTTAAAGCATCATCCTTTACTATAGCACCATTCAACAAAGAAGACTCCACCACACTCTGAGGCAGCATATTCCACTTCCGACCAGCTCTGACTATCAGGAAGTTCTTCCTGAGATTCAGGTGGAATCTCTTTTTCTGTAGTTTGAAATCATTGCTCCTTGTCCGAGTGTCTGGAGCCGTGGAAAACAAACCTGTTCCTTCCTCGACATGACATCCCTTCAAATATTTAAACATGGCTATCATGTCCCCTCCTAACCTTCTTTTTGTAAGGCTAAACATTCCCATTTCCCTAAGCCACTCCTCATAGGCCATGGCTTCCAGACCTTTGACCATTTTGATCGCCCTCCTCTGGACACGTTCCAGGTTTTCAACATCCTTCTTGAATTGAGATGCCCAGAACTGGACACAATACTCCAGGTGAGGTCTGACCAAAGCAGAATAGAATGGTACTACCACTTCCCTTGATCTAGACACTACACTTCTATTGATGCAACCAAGAATTGCATTGGCTTTCTTGGCAGCCGCATCACACTGCTGACTCATGTTCAGTTTGTGGTCTACCAAGACTCCTAGATCCCTTTCACAGGTACTGTTGTCTAGCTTTCCATCCTATATCTGTGCAGTTCATTTTTTTCCTGTCTTTTGAATTTTAATCCTGTCCTCTGGGGAATTAGCAACCCCTCCCAATTTGGTATCATCAGCATACTCTCTATTCTTTCATCCAAGTCATTGATAAAGATGTTGAATGGCATAGGGCCCAGAACAGAACCCTGAGGCACCCCACTAGTTACCTCTCTCCGGGATGAAGAGAAGCCATTGGTGATTACCCTTTGGGTTAGGTCAGTCAACTGATTACAAATCCACCAAATAGTAGCACTGTCTAGACCACATTTTACTAGCTTCCTTGCAAGAATATCATGGGGAACTTTGTCAAAGTCCTTATTGAAACCAAGATATGCTACATCCACAGTGTTCCCTTCATCTATCAAGCCTGTAACTATCAAAAAAAAAGGATCAGATTAGTCTGGCATGACTTTTTGAGAAACCTGTGTTGACTTTTAGTGGTGACAGCATTGCTAAGAAATAACAAACTGTCTGTTTAATGATATGCTTTAGAATTTTTATGGGCATTGATGTCAGGCTGACTGGGTGGTAATTATTTGGGTCTTCTTTTTTGCCCTTTTTGAAGATAGGGAAAACATTTGCCCTCCTCCAGTCTGTGGGGATTTCTCCTGTTGTCCAAGAATTCTCAAATATTATTGCCAATGGTTCTGAAATTACTTCTGCCAGTTCTTTTAATATCCTTGGATGTAATTCATCTGGCTCTGGAGACTTGAATTCATTTAGAGTAGCCAGGTATTCCTGTACTACCTCTCTACCTATTCTGTGCTGCATTTCCCCCACTACATAATCTTCTCTTCACTCCTCAGGTTGAGCACTATTTTCCTTTTTGGAGAAAACTGAGGCAAAGAGGGTGCTGAGAAGTTCAGCCTTTCCCCTGTCCTCTGTTAGTAGTTGACCATCTTCTCCATGCAGCAACCCTATCATTTCCTTGTTTTTCCTTTTGCTGCAGGCATAACTAAAAAACATTTTTATTGATTTTAATCTGTCTGGCAAGTCTGAGTTCATTCTGCACTTCTGCTTTTCTTACCTGCCCCCTACATATACTCGCTATTGACTTGTATTCCTCTTTGGTGTTTTCCCCATTTTTCTATTTCTTATACTTTTTTAACACTTAGTTCAATTGAAAGTTCTTTAGTCAACCATTCTGGTTTCTTTAGACATCTCCTGTTTTTCCTTCTTATTGGAACAGTTTTAGATTGTGCCTTTAATAGCTCCCTTTTAAGAAACTCCCATCCATCTTGAATTCCCTTCTCTTTCAGTATCTTTGTCCATAGAAATACAGCCAGTAATCCCCTAAATTTACTGAAATTGGCCTTCTTAAAGCTAGAACACATGTCTGGCTACACTTGGCTTCCCACTGTGTAACAAACTCCAAGAGAGCGTGGTCACTCCCACCTAAGGATCCAATCACTTCGACCCTATTAACAAGTCATCCCTGTTGGTTAAGATCAGATCTAAAATAACTGATCCCCTTGTTGCTTCTTTCACCTTCTGGACCATGAAATTATCTGCATGGCAAGTGAGGAATTTGATGGACCTGATGTTCTTTGCAGAGTCTGACTGCCAACATATATCGGGATAGTTCAAATCTCCAATTACTACTGCACCTCTCCCTTTTGAATGTATTGCCATCTGCTTCAGGAAGGCATCATCCAACTCTTCTGGCTGACTTGGGGGTCTGTAGTATACCCTCACAATGACATCCCTCTTGTTTCTCTCCCCATTAATTCTTACACAGATGCTCTCAACCTGGCTTCCTGGATCTCTTAACAAGTATAAACATTCTGCACATATAAAGCTGCTGCTACTCCTCTTTTCTTGCTAGGTCTCTCTCTCCGAAATAGTTCCCTCCCCCAACAACTACATTCCAGTCATGAGTTTCATCCCACCAGGTTTCAGTGATACCTATTATATCACATTTATTTTGCTGTATTAAGAGTTCCCGTTCTTCTTGTTTATTTCCCATGCTTTGTGCATTATTGTAGAGACATTTAGGACCATGTGTGTGTTTTTTCCCCTTGTTATTCTCTAGTACTACTTGCTCTGCTGGACTTTTCTCACCAGCACTTGCTGAATTTCTGCCCTGAAAACTACAGTCTCCCCCCCCCCTCTAGAACTCAGTTTAAAGCTCTCCTGATTAGATTTGTGAGCCTCTTAGCAAAAGCATTACTGCCAACAGCTGTGAGGTGCAGCCCATCCCCTGCCAAAAGATGATATTTGTGAAATAGCAGACCAGTGGTTGTTAAATATATATGCAGTAAAGCAGCAAACACAACTTTGCAATTTTAAGCAACTGTAAATAAATATATTCGCGAAGGCTTTCATGGCCGGGATCTAATGATTGTTGTGGGGTTTTTGGGCTCTTTGGCTGTGTGCTGAAGATTGTTCTTTTTATTTTATTTTCTTATTTTTTTATTTATATCCCACCTATCTGGACCACCGGACCACTCTAGGCGGCTTCCAATACAAGTTAAAACAATAAAACACAAAAATGTACATAATCATTCAATAACAGTGCACAGTGCTGTCCTCTGAAGATGCCGGCCACAGAGACTGGTGAAACAACCTTCAGAACACGGTCAAAGAGCCCGGAAAAACCCACAACAACCATGTAAATAAATAATTTTTATTCTTTCTCCTACAAATGTCTCAGAGTGAGTGACTGAGACTTCAAGTACCAATTAAGAAAGGGGTGAACTCTGGGGAACTTGCAGCTATTCTCCTATGTACGTTTCTGTACTTCTTATGTGAAGCAGAATTTTACCAGAAATTCAAAACTCTACAACAGGAACCATATTGCAGTGTTGTTTCTGGATCAATTTTCCACATTACAGAAGAAAAGAGTCAGCAGACACATCTGATCATTGTGTACCTGAAAAAGCCATTCCACTTGTATCCACTCAGCTAAAATTTGTTTCTTGATTTACACTGCCAAAGGCTATGTAGGAAAAATCTACTTCTTTCATTTCCCTCCTTAAAAAAACCATTTGCTGTTAACAAAACATAGGGAATAGCAAGCATGCAGCGTTGACTAGGCACAGAACTGGGTTGGCATGTGTGGGAAGAGACTGACAGCAGTGTTTTTAAATTAAATTATAAACAGCAGCTTTAACTCTTAGAAATCCTCTTACTGGCTTCATTTTATTCCAGTCACTGAATAGGCATATATTTACAAAGCATATTTACATTGGACTTTCATAGCTCAAATCTAACATTTCCCACTTGCTGTGAAAATGTAGCAGCATCTGCCATATTAAATTTGATGTTTTGTTTTTCTCTTGATAATAAATCATATTTCTGACAAGCAAAATTACCTCTGTTTATTTTTAATTTAAAATATTTTAGTATCCTTTTGTGCTTTTAAGAATGTTAAATTATGAATTTGAAATTCAGGAATCAAATCTAATGGTAGAGATGGGCAGACATTACCGCTTTTCAGAAATCCAAAGGCAACGTAGGTGACGCTTCAACCTGCGATCTCTACTTCATACATTCTGGAAATGTTTTTATGGAACAGCAGGAAGCTGCCGAGCTGAGTGATCTCGAAGGCTCCTCTGTCTCGCTCACTTTTCTCACCATCTTACTTGCTTGGTTGGTTGCCTTTCTCTGGTCTAACCAGTTGTTTAAAAAAAGGAAGGAAAGAAAGAAAAAGCTGGGGCGGAAGTTCCATTCTCGTCAGCTGATGCCAAAGTCATGAGGCTTAAGAAGTGGGTTGGGTCTTACCAACTGCAAGTCGTTTTTTCTTCTTTTCCTGCTGGCTTCGATTCTTGCCATGTTTCCCCTTTTACTACTGCTGCTGCTGCTTCTGCATGCAGGGTTTGGATTACCAGTAAGTATATTTTTGTTGCTGAACTGTTCCATGTTTGTCTTTTCGTTACTCCTTGTGTCGAGTTCTTCAATGGAGTAGAGAGCTGTGGGGTGCCGTGTTAATGGACTGCCGCTCCCAGCTAGCTTCCCTAACTGAATGAACGCATATGTGGTAGGCAGGGGCAAGCGACAGTATGGGACACGAACGGTGAGGCTGAGCAGATGCGTTTGCTAAGCGCGGGAACGAGAAAAGTTTGAATGGAGCTTTTCTAACGCTACAGAGAAGACGTAGGAGGAGGCAGTTTTTACTTTTGCTGCCGTATGCGTGCAAAACATCCGATCCTCATTTATTCCAGAATGCTGTTTTGGAGGTTGTGGTCATGTGAAAGAGAGTCATGTGGAAGCAGCCAGATTGACAGAGATATTTGAAAATGCATTTTCCGTCCAATTACTTTATAGCCTTCTCCATTTAGATCTGAGCATGTGCCATAATTGCTGTGTTTTTAATTTTATTCCTTGTTAAAATGTGTTGCTGTCAAACTTTTCAAAAGCAATTCCTCTGCTTTTATATTCTTCTGCAGTTACGTTGGCATGCTAGACTCTTTATTAGTATTGTTTACAATGTGCTGTCAAGTCAAAACTAACGTATAGGGACCCTAACAGGGCTTTCAAAGTGAGTGAGGTATTTAAGGAGTGTTATCATCAGTTCCACATCCCCAATGAGCTTCCATGGCTGAGGGGATTTAAATCCAGGTCTTACTGAGTCCTAGTTCATAACTCTATCCTCTTCTACACCACACTGGATATCAGGCAAAAAGCATTACACAGTGGTATAGCCATCCTTTTGAGAACAATGGGACTGCTGTGAATACAACTGTGTTAACTGTCTGCATTTGTGAATTAGACTTTTTTCCCTTCATATGTTGCCTACACAAAGACTGATTTTTTTAAATATGGGTGACAGATTTTTTCATTTTCTTTTTGTGGGTAATTATCAGTTTGTGGTTTCTCACACTGCCATTGCTGTTGGAGAAAAGAGGAACATAGTCAGTCTTAGAGAACTGGAACTGTGATGTGCTGCAGTCACTCCTTCCCTTTCTCCCCATACCTAATTATGTTTAGTTGTTGCTGAACCGAGAAGGATTCCTTATAATATCAGTGAAGTTCTGAATTTTTGTGTTGCACTTAAGAGGACAAGGTAGGCAGAATTGGGGAACATTTCATTTATCAAATGTATCAGATTGCATTCCCAGAATCCCTTAGTGGCTTGGACTCCTAGAAATAGATGTTCAAAACATCTGGAGGTCCAAAGAGTATTTTCACTTGGTGTAGGCAATGCAGTGGAGTATCAATAGTTCCTACAGCAACAACAGGTACTCCCTGATTTTGGTACAGCGGTGCCTCGACTTACGACCATAACCCGTTTCAGAAGATGGACCTAACTCGAAATGGTCATAAGTCAAAGGACCATTTCCCATTGAAATGCATTGGAACACGATTAATCTGTTCTGGGGGGAAAAAGCACACAGGAAGCCTGGTTGGAAGATGCTGGGGCTTTAAAAAAACAACAACAAAAAATAAACAGCTAAGCAAGCTCCTTTGCTGGGGCTTTTAAAAATAAAAAATAAAAAAAAATAGCAAAGAAAGCCCGGAAGGTGCTGGGGCTGAAAAAAAACACATCAAAAAACAAAACAACAACACAACACAGAAACATACACCCCCCCAGCCCAAAACCACGCCGTAAGGCCCACCCAGAACAGTTTTTTAAAAAGCAGAAAACAGCACCGTACCCTATCAGACAGCCTCCTTCGATTGCACACTCTAACTGCTGGGGCGAAAGAGCTGCAAAGAAGCAGCCTCGTCACCACCTACAATTAGCAATTTGAATTTCCTGCCCTTTCCCCCTGCCTTTTTTGTGTTCATAACTGGAAGCTCCGGCCACAGTCGAAGCAAAATTTTGTGACCGGAGCTGGTCGTAAGTAGGGATGGTCAAAAGTCGAGGCACCACTGTACTCAGTTGCCTTACGCCTCAGAATTTTGCCTTGTCTCATTTTTTGTGATACTTCAGTTTGTAAGTGGGAAGAAAGTAGAATGTATATGTGTTTTTGTTTTCTCAAAGTACCATATAATTATTATCTCAATCCTTATTTCAAGGTAATCAAGCTTGGAGCTATAGAAGTCATTTTCCTGCCCTTAGAAATGTCTGGATATTAGTTTCACTATGTGAAATGAGGAGGTGATTGAAAGATCCTTTCTGATTTCCACCCATTTCACCACAAACCAGATAACTGGCGGGGGGGGAGGATATTTTCCACTTCAATAGCAGAGGCACTTCTAGTTTTAGATGATAACATTCTCAATGTTATCTCATCTTAAAATGAGAGAACAGACAAAATAACAGCCCAAAATCAACCAGCCAAACAGAAAAGCACAATGGATTATTTTTTGAAGAATCTGGTATCAAGACTCAATCTGTGGACTCAGATGATGATAGCTGCAACAGAGGGCTGGAAATGCCTTCCTCTTTCATTCCCCCATCCCATCCCCCAGATATACCCATTCTTTAATACCCATGGAAATACTTAAAATATACTGGGATGATGACTACTACATATAATTAATGTAAAACTTTGGACAGGTTTGACCCTGCAGTCCATGAGGAACAGCCAAGCCCTCAATTATAATTGTATTAATTGCTGTCCTTAGTATGATAGAGGATTTTTGTTTATTGGATTTTATAGTGCCTCAGTCGAGTTATGGACTCCCATCTAGCTGTCAGCTGTATGTACCAAGTGCTTCTGAAGGACTGAATGCTTTTCTGTATGTTATCTCTTAGGTAACCTCTGTGTGTCTTATAGATGAATACATGAGTACAACCACAACCAGCCAAACAAACAAAAATCCCCAGAGAAAAATCCCAAGAGCTTTAGGGATAACAAAACAGGCTTGTGGAGCCTATAGGGCTGCTTGATTTAACCCCCTGCTTTATGCGTATCCCCATGTCACTGACGCTTCAGGAGATGTGAGTTAGGTTGCAACAGTGACTTCCATAGAGGTGAGATTATTTAATTCTTCAAAATCCCTGGTTTATGAATGTGGGATACTGTGTTTCTATACCCATAATTCAAAAAGCCGGGAAATGGCCCAATATTGTTGCACAATATCATGCCCACATTACCAACAGGAGAAAGGATGCCAAGCTTTACATGGCAAAGGGCAATCTGTTGACAACACCAATGGCAGCCATCAAGATGATCTACAACAGTGGTCCCCAACCTTGGGCCTCCAGATATTCTTGGACTTCAACTCCCAGAAATCCTGGCCAGCAGAGGTGGTGGTGAAGGCTTCTGGGAGTTGTAGTCCAAGAGCATCTGGAGGCCCAGGGTTGGGGACCACTGATCTACAGGATACCATCTTCTGAGGGTATTCTGTAGTGACACCATTCAAGAGAAAATCTGAGAAGCTGACTTTTTTCATCAGTTAGCCACTTCTTACCCAAACACAAAGCAATTGTCAGGGCTGTTTTTCAACAAGTGTGAATAGCAATGAGCAGAAAGGGGTCTCCTGTAGATCAGTGGTCTCCAACCTTTTCCAAACCACAGACTGGTTGAGGGTTGCAGGGGTGGGGTGGGCGGGTGGGGCACCTATGTGCTGGTGGGCCGGGGCACCAGTGCTTGTGCATGCATTTGGGGCAGGGCAGCCATGCGTGCATGCACGTGTGGGCAGGGCACCTGTGTGTACATGTGGGGATGTGTGTGTGCATGGAGGGGGGCATGTGGGGGGGCAGAAGATTTGTCTCCGTGGCCCGGTCCTGCCAAGGACATGGCCCGGGACTCGGCTGTGGACCGGGGGTTGGAGACCTCGGCTGTAGATAATCTTGATTGCTGCCACTGTGTTTTCAACATTCAGGTTGCCCTTTGCAACTCATGTTCATCTGTTACATTACCTGCACTTTAATCAGTCTAACTAGAGACCATGACTAAATCGTACGATTTGTATGCAAACTTATTTGTCATTTTATATTTGTTAGCTACCTCAATAAACCTGTAACTGCTTTCAACTATGGCACATGTTCATTCTCCTTCCTGAACTACTAAGGTTGTGGAGTTCAATTTTCATACAAACATTGTTCAGGAAAAGAGGCTCATGTTCAAGATGCAGCTAGACAGGGATTTACCTGATCTTTGATCTGCTCTGGGGAAAGGCTGGTTTGCTTCTCTTCCCTGCAACTATGGGATGTGTGGGCAATCACAAACCGGTCTGTCCTGATCATTTCCTACCTGCACCTTTTTAGATCCCTTTCAAGGGCTACTGTTTTGTTTGCTTGTTTGTTTCTTGGTGTGGATGTTGTTAGGATGCACCTTCCAACAGTACTAGCCAATAGTGAGGGATGGGAGCTGTGATCCATCAGTGTCTGGAGGTGCACACATTCCCATGTCCTGGGTGCTGATGTCTTCACACGAAGTTCAGTCGCAGTGGCTAGATAAAAAGCTGTTCTAAGCCTTTTGTGTGAAGCATACAGCAGCAAAAAGCCTTGTGTCAAATGTAAGAGATCCAATCTCATACAATATATAATTAATGCCTCTGGGGCACAGACTTTGAAGTGCAATAACCCTGACTCTTTCAAAAGCTACTTTAATCAAGGACAGCAAGATAATCTTGCTAACTGCAGCAGCTGCAGTGAACTCCCATGGTGGAAGCAGCCAAGTAGATGAGAAAGATAGGCAGCAAGTTCATCAAGTTATGTTCAACATATGGCTCAGTAATTTATTCCACTGTAGAGAAAGTCAGAGGGATGCTAGATAATGTGCTATAATGTGCCCACAGAAAAATCAAGAAAACACGATAGGGATGATATATAAGTAACATTGTATGAATGCTCTCTTTTGTCTAAACATTTAGAATAGCCCTGTACCATGGGCACTGTTTTCGTGGAATTAGCATAATAATCTATGCAAGGATATCAGGCAAAACAAAACAAAAAACAGTCATAAATGTGGAACCATAAAGAACAGCTGGTCTGTTTTAATGTGACCTTTCATGGATCAAGTCTGCTTCCTCAGACCTAAGAGCGAGACTGTGACTGTTTTATTTCTACATGGCTTCATGACCAGATGTGGATACAGGTAACAGACAAAGGGACGATGGTTTGTTAGTCATTGGTTAAGCTATTAGGCTGTGGATAATTTCAGTTATCAACGTGCAAGGTAACAATAACAGAGTTGGTACAAGTAGCAAACTGGAAATCAGTGTAGGATTTCAAATTTGGTAATCACTGTGGGACTTACTCATCAACTGTGAAATCCTACAAAGCAGGCCCTTTACATGCTAGTGTACTACTGTTCCCGTCATCCCTCACTGGTAGCTGTGTTTTTCAGGGCTGATAGAAGTTGCAGTCCAACAGCATCTATATTAGCCACATGATTCCTGTTCTTCATATGAAGAGTTGAAGCGAGGCCAGACCTCTCCTCTACAGTGGTACCTTGACTTATGAACTTAATCCATATTGGAATGGCATTTGTACATCCAAAAGTCCATAAGTTGAGGCAAAATTTCCCATAGGAATGCATTGAAAACCATTTAATCTGTTCTGGCTTTTTTTCGTTCTTATGTCAAGGTGCTGTTTGCAAGTAGAGGCATTAGTTCCCATAGGACAGGGATGGCAAACCTATGGCACACGTACCACAGCTGGCACGCGAAGCCCTTCTCGCACGCAACAGACCTTTTGAAGTGGCTGCAGCTGGGGTTCCCCCTTTCTGTTACTGTTCTGGGTCCTTTAACTTCTTGTCCGTCCCCCTGATTCCCCCTTTAACTTTCTGTCTGTCCCCATGATTCCCCTTTAACTTCCTGTCTGTCCCCATGATTCCCCCTGAAACTGCCACTTCCTGTTCCGGTTCTGGTATTCTGGGTGGCACGGCAGCCACTGGTTTCTTCCCCACCCCCTCATTTTGGGCACTTGAGCCGAAAAAGGTTTGCCTCCACTGCCATAGGAACTAATGCAAAGCCGGTTAATCTGTATTCTACCACTAGGGGGAGAATTTTTTAAATTTTTTTCTTCTTTTGACCTAAGATGAACTTAGGTCAAAAAAAGGGGCAGGAAAGGTTTTTTTCGTTAGTAAGTCGAAGCTCAGTTCGCAAGTCGAAGCAAAATTTTGTGAACGGAGCCGGTTGTAACTCAAAATGTTCGTAAGTAGAGACATTCGTAAGTCAAGGTACCACTGTACTATGAAATTCCTTCAATGGGTCAATTCCTGTCAACTATTCCGAGAATAAAAAGCGAATCCATAACAATATGCTATGAGATGTGTCTATTTTACCACATATGAGAATACTGAAAATCTGGAGCTAAATCCAGTGGGACATTATTTGTTACATTATATAGCTGGGTTAACTTTGAGCTCATTGAAGAAAGACAGGGTTATGAAAGAAAAAAAATACATCATTTCTGTGCCAGAGGGGCAAAAATTCTTCAGTTATAGATGTGAGGACGGATGAGCCCTTTTGCTGACTGTTTATTTTGGTCTTCCAGATACTTCCATTGTTACTGTTTACATTTTTATCCTGAGTTTCATCCAGAGTTCAAGGCAACAATCCTGGGTGTCCTCCTCTGCCCTTTATCCTCCCAACAGTCTTATGAGAAAGGTCAGGCTGAGACTGTGTGACTGGCTCAAGGCCACCAACTAAACTCTCATGGCCAAGTGGGGATTTAAATCCAGGCTCCTCATACATGACAGTAATCACTACACTACACTCCCATATGTGAGACTTTACTGTAAAGGAACTGGACCTTCCCATTCAACAGAAGAACATTGGGAATGGCCTAGTCTTTGCTGGCAGAGTTTGGAAATATGAATTTTTAGACTACAGTTCCCAAAATGTCTAGCCCTTATAGTCCATAGGATATGTAGTCCAGGAAATAACTGTAGTCCAAATTAACTCTGTTTGATATTTTCTGATTTCTTTTTCATTTTAAAATCATTATGCTATTGAGAGACTTATGAAATAATGCCTTCCAGGGAACCTGAGATGGAAGAAAACAGAGGTGGAAATATGGTGGAGTAGGAGCCCTCTTTCTGGAAGTACCATGTTTTCCTGAAAATAAGACAGGGTCTTATATTAATTTTTGCTCCAAAAATGCACTAGGGCTTATTTTCAGTGGATGTTTTATTTTACAATAATGTCATTTTCTGGTTGCTACACAATGGTGGAAGGTGGGTTTCACTTAACTGGGGCTTATTTTGGGGGTAGGGCTTAAATTACAAGCTTCCTGAAAAATCATACTAGGGCTTATTTTCAGGTTAGATCTTATTTTCAGGGAAACAGGGTACTATCAGTCAAAATCATTGTGCTGCTTTCCATCTTTTTAGAGGTTATTTTGGTATATCCAGATTTAGCCACATTTGCAATGGACTCATTGAAATAATCAGGAATTGTTAGTGTGTGTTAACTTTACTAGCAGTAATAAATTTTTGGGATACCCAATGTGGTGTAGTGGATAGTGACAGACTAGGACTCAGGAGGCCTGAGTTCAAAACCCTACTTAGTCATGGAAACTCACTGGAGGTATGGAACAATTAAAGCTACTCCTTAAATATCTCATTTACCTTGCCCTATCAGGGTTGCTTTAATGGCACATAATGTTTGGTAGAGGTTATCAGTGTTGATGCTCAGGTTGGGTGGGATATAATGGTGAAACTATTATTGTGATGATACTGGATAAGCATAGCTGTGGCTTCTGTCTTTTATATATGTGATTATAAAGTTCTGATTGGAGCTAAGAGGATGTGGAGTCCTTTCTCTCTCTCCCAGTATGATCTAAGCAACGGCTATGTGTATTTCTGCGAAACTGACTCCTATTCCCTAAACCTAAAGCTTCTGTCCACTTAACTTATCTTTACAGACTTTATCCCAGAGGAGCTTTGAGATTGATTATAACCGCAACAGCTTTCTCAAGGATGGCAAAGCATTCCGCTACATATCAGGCAGCATCCATTATTCCCGTATTCCCCAATACTATTGGAAAGACCGCCTCTTGAAGATGAAAATGGCAGGCCTTGATGCCATTCAAACGTAGGTTCTCAAACTACAGTTAGAAGGGATGGGATAGCCTCTAAAGATAAGATGCTATCTCTTGAGTTTTGTATTGCAGTCATTTTATAGGTCACATGTAAGGTGGTGATGAAACCTATAAAGTGTTCTGTTGTGTGTTTGTGTGACAAACGTTCTGGAAACTATGTTATGTAAATATTTTTCAATGGCATTTCTGTTTCTAGAACTTAAAATGACTGTGTATATATGTTCAGGTCAGGGTTTATTTCCTTGTCTTGCATCAAGCTGAGGAGAACAGAAGGAAACATAAATTTCTGAATCAGTGACAGATTGAAACCAGCTTGATATATCAGTGTTGCAAAAGAGCAAAATTGTACACATGGTACATTACAGTAAGTGAAAATGTGGAAGTTAGAAGATAATCCTGATATCCTATTAATAAAAAATGAATTCTGCTGCTTATATGAACGGTGCACATTTAGAAAAGCTGCATGCACTTGATTATTTTGTAAAGCTTTAAATTGTAGTCATCATAGGGAAAGTCAAAAGTGCATTCAAGTCTTACCATGTGGCCTCTGGAAATCCTCATTCCCGTTTGATTTTACATTTCACCAGGCATTATTCATATATTCTCCAGCCTAGTCTTCTAACCTTGAGGTCTAGAAATATGCTTTACCTGGACCTGTAGAACAACAGTTGAATTCTGGGTCCAATGTCCATTTCTTGGCAACAAGGCACATTTGATTTTTATTCCATGATCTGTTTCACAGGAACAATGTCAGCTAGTTGGTAAATCAATAGTCTCATGTGGAAACATTGCTAGTTTTGCGGACAACATTATTTTTCATTGCCATAGCTCCTCTGAAGTGTGGTTCTGATCTGAGAGAGCGTGCTAAAGTTATATAGGTGCATGTGCTCTGCCCCCCCCCATGGATTGCTGCGTTGTCATGGCGAAGGGGCTTGAGTAATTCAGAAAAGCTATGGGCTATGCTGTGCAGGGACACCCAAGACAGACAGGTCATAGTGGAGAGTTCTGACTAAACGCGATCCACCTGGAAGTGAAAGGAAACTCCGATGCTGCAAAGAAAAATACTGCATAGGAACCTGGAATGTAAGATCTATGAACCTTGGTAAGCTGGATGTGGTCAAACAGGAGATGGCAAGAATAAACATTGACATCCTGGGCGTCAGTGAACTAAAGTGGTTGGGAATGGGAGAATTCAGTTCAGACGATTATCATATCTACTATTGTGGACAAGAATCCTATAGAAGAAATGGAGTAGCCCTCATAGTCGACAAAGGAGTGGGAAAACAAAGCTGTACTTGGATGCAGTCTCAAAAATGATAGAATGATTTCAATACAAATCCAAGGCAGACCTTTCAACATCACAGTAATCCAAGTTCATGCACCAACCAATGATGCTGAAGAGGCTGAAATTGACCGATTCTATGAAGACTTACACCTTCTATAACTGACACCAAATAAAGATGTTCTTCTCATTATAGGGGATTAGAATGCTAAAGTAGGGAGTCAAGAGATAAAAGGAACTAGATTTGGTGGACAGAGTGCCTGAAGAACTATGGATGGAGGTTCGTAACATTGTACAGGAGACAGCAACAAAAACTATCGCAAAAAAAGGAAATGCAAGAAAGCAAAGTGGCTGTCCAACGAGGCCTTACAAGTAGCAGAGAAGAGAAGGGAAACAAAATACAAGGGAGATAAGGAAAGTTACAGAAAAATGAATGTGGACTTTCAAAGAATAGCAAGGAGAGTCAAGAGGGCTTTCTTAAATGAACAGTGCAAGATATAGAGGAAATAATAGAAAGGGAAAAACCAGATATCTGTTCAAGAAAATCTGAGATATTAAAGGAACATTTCGTGCAAAGATGAACATGATAAAGGACAAATGGTAGGGACCTCAAAGAAGCAGAAGACATCAAGAAGAGGTGGCAAGAATACACAGAGGAATTATACCAGAACGATCTGAATATCCCGGACAACTCAGATAGTGTGGTTGCTGACCTTGAGCCAGACATCCTGGAGAGTGAAGTCAAGTGGGCCTTAGAAAGCTTGTCTAACAACAAGGCCAGTGGAGGTGATGTTATTCCAGTCGAACTATTTAGAATCTGAAAAGATGACACTGTTCAAGTGCTGCACTCAATATGCCTGCAAGTTTGTAAAACTCAGCAATGGCCAAAGGATTGGAATAGATCAGTCTACATCCCAATCCCAAAGAAGGGCAATGCCAAAGAATGCTCCAACTACCGTACAATTGCACTCATTTCACACACTAGCAAGGTTATGTTCAAAATCCTACAAGGTAGGCTTCAGCAGTATGTGGACTGAGAACTCCCAGAAGTACAAGCTGGATT